GGGACAGAGCCCCAGCAGGGCTGGAGCACAGTGACAGCTTAGGGATACAGGGACAGAGCCCCAGCAGGGCTGGAGCACAGTGACAGCTTAGGGATACAGGGACAGAGCCCCAGCAGGGCTGGAGCACAGTGACAGCTTAGGGATACAGGGACAGAGCCCCAGCAGGGCTGGAGCACAGTGACAGCTCAGGGATGCAGGGACAGAGCCCCAGCAGTGCAGAGCCCCCAGAGCTGCGTGCCCACATCCACCTGCTGTGCTGGGGACATCGTGCTCCACCTCCAGGTGACCCTGGCACAGCTGGCACAGCCTCCCAACCCCTGCAGGTGCTGCTCTCGGTGAGGAACCAGCCTCGGGGGGCACGGGGAGGCTCAGGTGGGATATCAGGCACAGTTCCTTGGCCAAAGCGGCTGTCAAGCCCCAGAGCAGGCAGCCCGAGTCACCGCCCCTGCGAGTGGCCAGGAGGTGCATGTGGCACTTGGGGACACGGCGGGCTCGGCAGCGAGGTGTGTCCATGTGGACGGGGAGGCTCAGGTGGGATATCAGGCACAGTTCCTTGGCCAAAGCGGCTGTCATGCCCCAGAGCAGGCAGCCCGAGTCACCGCCCCTGCGAGTGGCCAGGAGGTGCATGTGGCACTTGGGGACACGGCGGGCTCGGCAGCGCTGGGGGAACGGCCGGGCTGGACGGTTGTAGAGGCCTTTCCCGGCGTTAGGGATCTGAGACTCCCCGGTTCCCGGGCCGGCTCCGCGGGGCTCGCTCTGCGCCGAGCGGGGGCACCCGGGGGAGGCCGGCGGCCGCTCTCACCTAAAGCTCACCACGGGCCCGACCTCCGAGAAAATGTCCTTCAGCTGCTCCTCCGTGGCCTCATACGGGATGTTCCCCACTGCGGAGACAGACGGTGCCGCCGGTCAGCGCGGCGGGTACCTGCCTCGACGGCGAGGGGAGGAAACCCGCCGGCCCCCCGCCTGCCCCTGCCCGTCCGAGCCCCCTTCCCTTGCAGGTCGCGGTCCCGCCCCGCGGGCTCACCGAACACGGAGCGCAGGGACCGATCCACGGCGGGGTCCCGCACCGACAGCCCCGCCATCGCGCCGCCCGCGCCGCTTCCGGTCCGCGCGCCGCCCGTCCCCTTCTTCCGCTTCCGCCCGCAACAAGCTCGGCAGCGGCGCTTTCAAAAAGCGCTCCGGCGGGAAACGCGGCACCGGCGGCTGCGGCGTGGGGGTGCCGGGGACCCCCGCACCTCGGGCATTCCCCGGCCCGACCTCGGGGATGCCGCTTCGGGCACCGGCCCCGAGGCACAGCCCCTGGCGAGCGTGACAGCGCCTGGGGTCGGCGGGATGGAAGGCACGGACGCCCCCACCGCTGTCCCCACGGGTGTCCCCGCGCTGGCCGCAGAGCCGCGGTTCGCCCAGCGCCTCAGGTGAGGGGCAGCGGGATGGCAGCGCCGTGCTGCCCCGCGGGACGGGGCCAGCCGGGAGGGCAGGGCCTGACCGCTGTGGCCGTGCAGGCAGCGCCTGGAGGAGGAGCGGCTCCTGGACGGGCGCTACGGGCTGCAGCGGCTGCCGGGCGGCCGCGTGGCCCTGCCCGTGCTGCCGGAGAAGCTCTGCCGGCTGTGCCTGCCGCCGGAGCTGCCCTGCGAGCTGCTGCGGAAGCTCGTGAGCCCGGCCCCGAGCCCCGAGCCCCGCGGGCGGCGCCGGGCGCTCAGCCCAGCCCGGCACGGCTCCGCCGCAGGACCCTGTGCCCTGCAGGGCCGCCCGCCGGCGCACGCCGGCCCGGAGGCTGCGGGACGAGCTGCGGCGGCTGCTGGGGCCCGCCTGGTCCGCGGAGCTGGAGCGGGACGTGCCGCACGCCTGGCACAGGCACGGCGACCTGGTGCTGCTGAGCGAGGACAGCTTCAGGGCTGAGCCCTGGGAGAGGCTGGGTAAGGATGAGCAAAGCCTGCCTGCCCCGGCCCAGGCTGCCCGCAGCTCCCGGGTGCTGTATTGCAGGCTCAGCACCCTGGGAGAGGCTGGGTGACGGCGAGCAAAGCCTGCCTGCCCTGCCCTGCCCTGCCTGGCCCAGGCTGCCCGCAGCTCCCGGGTGCTTGTTGCAGGCTCAGCACCCTGGGAGAGGCTGGGTAAGGATGAGCAAAGCCCGCCTGCCCCGGCCCAGGCTGCCCGCAGCTCCCAGGTGCCTGTTGCAGGCTCAGCACCCTGGGAGAGGCTGGGTGAGGGCAAGCAAAGCCTCCCTGCCCTGCCTGGTCCAGGCTGCCCGCAGCTCCCGGGTGCTTGTTGCAGGCTCGGCGCTCTGGGAGACCGTGGCCTCGGCTTTGGGGGCCCGGCGGGTGGCCAGGCGAGGACGGGTGATGCCGGATGGGATGCGCAGCCCCAGGGTCACCCTGCTGCTGGGCCAGCACGGCTGGGTGGAGCGCGTGGACAACGGCATCAGGTGGGCAGCAGCTGCAGGATGGGGCTGGCGGGGAAGGGACTGGCCTCACCGTCTGAGCGGGGTCTTCCAGGTACACCTTCGACGTGACCAAGTGCATGTTCTCCCCGGGAAACATCACCGAGAAGCTGCGTGTGGCCTCGCTGCCCTGCTCCGGGGAGGTCCTGGTGGATCTCTATGCAGGTAATGGGGACGGAGGAAGGACAGGTGCTGATGGCATCCAGGCAGTCATGAAATGTCATTTCCAACTTATGAAAAATACTCAGGCTTAGAGCTCCTGTCTTGTCTGTGGGCCCTTCAGCTCTGCTGGCACTGCTGTCCTGCCTGTGTCCCTACAGCCTCTGGACACTTAGGATGTCCTGTTCTCAGGCTCTGTGCCTAGTGCTGCTTTGGGGAATCACTTGGATCCAGGGGAAAGATTTGCCACTGTTTGTGCTTAAGGAAGTTAGTGCTTCCAATTTGTGCCACACTGAAGGACATGGCACCCACAAAACTGCTGTGGATTAATCAAACTAAACAGTAATCTGGACACTTCTGCAGAGCCAGGCAGGTCTCAACCTGATGGCAAAGACTGAAGGCAAAATAAACTCCACTAAACATTTTTCAAGGCAGATTTTGCTTTTGCAGAAGAGGGAGGGATAAATTTCCATTTTCCCAGTGTTTGGTCTTTCTCCAACCCAGAGCAAAGCAGACTTGGAGAGGCAGGGCGGCAGTGTGCATGCTGCCCTGCCCTCGGGGAGCAGTGTGGGTCTCTGGGGGTCCCTGCCCTCAGGCACTGCCTCCTCCTGCCCGCAGGCATCGGCTACTTCACGCTGCCGTTCCTGGTGCACGCCGGAGCCGCCTTTGTCCATGCCTGCGAGTGGAACAGCCACGCCGCGGAGGCGCTGCACAGGAGCCTGGTGCTGAACGGGGTGCGGGATCGCTGCCACATCCACCGCGGGGACAGCCGGCAGGTGAGCGCTGCCGCCGGGCCGCGGTTCCCCCGCCGCGGGCGCGCCCTCACCTCCGCTCTGCTCCCAGCTGCAGCTGCGGGATGTGGCAGACAGGGTCAACCTGGGGCTGATTCCCAGCTCGGAGGAAGGCTGGCCCGCGGCCTGCCGCGTCCTGAAGAAGGACACGGGTGGGGTTCTGCACATCCACCATAACGTGGAGACCCGGCCGGCACCGGCCGCGCCGCGGAGCGCGGAGCCGCTGGCCGAGCGGGGCTCTGCGGAGGCAGCCAGCCCCGGCGGAGAGGCACGGCGCCCGGCAGAGCACGGCGGGGAGCAGGCGGCCAGGCTCAGAGCCGAGTGGCAGAGCTGGGCTGAAGGCACGGCCGCACGCATCCAGGGGCTGCTGGCAGAGCTGCACGGGCGGCCGTGGCGCAGCAGCGTCCTGCACATCGAGCCGGTGAAGTCCTACGCGCCACACGTGCACCACCTCGTGCTGGACCTCGAGTGCCGGCCTGTGCTGCCCGGGTAGCGGGGCGCGGGCACCGCTGGGGCTCCGGCTGCTTGGGAGGGTGGCCGGCAGTGTCCTGCTGCCAGCCTGGATGTGCCTTGTGTCCCCCAGTTCCCAGGTGGCAGCGCTGCCCGGCAGTGCCTCCCCGTGCCCGGGGCACCCAGGGTTGTGCTCCCCTTGGCAGATCCCCTCAGGATCCAGACAAGGATAGAGCAAGCTGGGCTCAGAGTGCCAGTGTTCTGCCCTGGCTCTGCCAGTCGCTGCCCAGGTCTTGGAACCTTGAGCCCGATTTTCACACTGGAGAGAGCCACAGTGCTGAGAAGCCTTGGATTCCTGCTGGGTTCGTTTCAGCAGGTCAGGGACAAGCTTTGTGCTTGTATTTACCAGCATGCTTTTTTAATGCACTGAGAGCAAGTCTGTTCATCCCATTTCCTTCCTATCTTTTCGGAAATAAAGACGTTTCACTACCTCTTGTTGGTGTCCAGTTAAAACATGAACACTGGTGCAAGTGTGGGGGTCTGGCCTGGGGATTTGGGTGCTAGGGTGGTGGGTGGAGGGGCTCAGGGAGCAAAGCCTCTGTGGCATTGTCTGCCTGCAAGCCCAAAGCCCTCTCCGCAAGTGTTGTGTACTCCGGATGGAGCGAACCCCTGCCCCATGAGGAAGCTCCCGCTGGCCCTTTGATGTCGCCGCGGTTTTTTCCACTGTGTCAGTGTCGCATCGCTTCCCAGAGCGCTGGGAGCCTCTGGCTCTCCCATCCCTGGGGTGCGGCCGAAAGTGTGGGCAGAGCCGCGTCCTCTCGTTTGCCTCGGGGCTGCACCCGGGTGGCCTCCCCCGCTGTCCTGCGTGGTGACAAACAGCCTGCCCTTGAGCCCCCGCCTCGGCCAGCCGCGTGTGCTCGGTTCCCCGGTGCCTGTGCTGCGGGGGGCAGGACGAGGCGCCCTGCGGGGACCGTATCTCTGCCACAAGGACAAGGGCAGCGGCTGGAGCCTTGCGGCGGGAGGACACCGCGCCCTGGGCTCCTCCTTGGGGGTGCCGGGGGGTCCCCCGCAGTTCGGGTGTCGGTGCTCCTCGGGAGAGGCCGCGCACCCAGCCAGGGCCACGAGGCACTGGGGAAAGCGGCCCCGGGGCTGGAGCAGCAGCTCTACCGGGGCTGATCGGGAGGGGGAGGGGGCTGGAGGCAGCGGGCACCGCCTCCCCCTCGGGCCGCCCCGTCGGTGCCGCAGGTGCGGCCGGCGCGGCTCCTTTAAGGCACCGGCACCGCCCTCCCCCCGGCTCCCCCTCCCGCTGCCGGGAGCCGCCGGCCGGAGCGCTGCAGGTACCGGGAGGATCGGGGGGTCGGGCGGCGCTCCGCTGCCGGGGTACCGGGGGTTCCTCCGCGGACGGGGGAAGACGGGATCCCTCGGCTGGTGGGGAGTCGGGGGTCCTTCTGTGGTCTGGGGGTCGAGCCGCGGTGTCCCGGGGCGGGGGCAGTTCCCAGCCCCGGTGGCCGCGCTGGGAACGCGGTGGTTCCAGTCCCGGACCCGCTTTCTCCGACAGAGGAGCCTGGGGTCCGTCCCGCCGCCCCCTCCTCCCCGAGGGACGCCGGAGCGCGGCTGCGGGGACGGGAAGGTTCCTCCGGTTCCGCCGGTTCCGCCGAGCGGGGGGCGGCCGCAGCCCCCGAGCAAGCGCTCGGCTCCGTCGGGGCTGCAGCGGCCGCCCGGCTCCTGGTGCCGCCGCCTGCCAGCCGGATCCGGTCCCGGTCCCGGTCCCGGTCCCTGCCGCGGCTCCTGGTGCCGCCGCCTGCCAGCCGGATCCGGTCCCGGTCCCGGTCCCGCTCCCGGTCCCGGTCCCTGCCGCGGCTCCTCGGGCTCGGGCAGTCCGAGCGCCGCTGCGCTCGTGGGAGGGGCAGCCCCGGGCGGCTCCTTCCTGCCGGGGCTGCCGCGGGAGCTGGGCGTCAGACCGGTCCCACGGAGCCGGCTGAGGTCACCGGGGCGGCGGGGCTGGCAGGCGGCCCGAGCCCAGCCCGGGGCAGGGCGCTGGCGGCGGCGGGCGGGCCGGTGTCCCGGTGCCGCCATCCCGTCCGGGCACGGGCACGGGGCGCCTGGCGGGGCGGGAGCCGCGCTCAGCAGCTGGCATGTCCCTAGCTGGCAGCCGGTGAGGGCCAGCCAGCCCGGGTGGAGCGATGTCGGAGGCCGTGGACCTGTCCTTCCTGTCGGACGTGGAGAGAGAGCTGATCCTGCAGGTCCTGCAGCGCGACGAGGAGCTCCGCAAGGCAGAGGAGCGGCGGATCAGGTGCGAGCGCGGCTGGAGCCGGGCAGGAGCCGCTTCCCCGCCTTGCTCTGGGAGCGGGTGGGTGACGGGCGTCGCCGGGGTCCCGGGGCGGCTCTGACACTCCTGGTGTCGGGTGTGAGCAGGCGCCTGAAGAACGAGCTGCTGGAGATCCGGCGCAAGGGAGCCAAGCGGGGCAGCCAGCGCTACAGCGAGCGGACGTGCGCCCGCTGCCAGCAGAGCCTGGGCCGCGTCAGCCCCAAGGCCAACACCTGCCGGGGCTGCAACCACTTGGTGTGTCGGGACTGCCGCTCCTGCAGCCCCAGCGGCTCCTGGCGCTGCAAAGTCTGCACCAAGGAGGCGTGAGTAGCCAGGACGAGTGGCGGGCACATTCTGCACATCCCTCCTGTCTTCTTCCTCGTCTCAGCTGCCTCAGCTTGATGCCCCGTAGTCAGCCTTTCCTAGCCTGGCTGGTCCTCCCCAGTGCAGGGCAGCTTGCTCTGCTGTCACTCCTGGAGAGGGTTCCCATGTTTGGGTGATGGAGAAATGGGTCATACCCCACTCTTGTGTCTCCTTCCTGCCCTGCTCCTTTGCCTCCTGAACTGACTGCAGCATCCCCCGTGCCCCTTGCACAGTCTTTGAGGCATCCCAGATTTCCTCCCTTTTGGCCTCCCCTGTCCTATAAAACTTGGCTTGCTCATGTATGTGCTGAGGATGTGGCTGAGCCTGTCAGCTGCCTGGTGAATGGTCCCTGCCTGGTCACCTGCTGGTTTTGCCCACTGTGCCTGTGTTCTTGGGCTGTGGCAGCACCGAGGGTGGGTTGGGGCACAGCAGACAGCCCCCACTGCCCCTGACTGCCCCCCTGACCACTCCTGCCCTTGCAGTGAGCTGAAGAAGACCACAGGTGACTGGTTCTATGACCAGAGGGTGAACCGCTTCGCCAACCACCTGGGCAGCGACATGGTGCGGCTGTCCCTGCGGCACAGGCCCACAGGTAGGGTGCCCAGCAAAGCCTTCTGCCACAGCCCAGCCACCTGGGATGCTCCAGCTTTCCCCAGTGCACCTCTGCGCAGCCTGGAGCTGGATGGGAGCAGCTCTGCTCCAGGCAATGAGCTTGGAGCAGTGTTCCTCCTGATGCCTCTCTGCTTCCAGCCAACAAAAGAGAGACTGTGGGACAAACCCTCCTGCAGAAAGCCCAGCTCAGCGAGCCTAAGAGCTGCTCTGCAGTCCGGCAGCCGAGCCCCCCTGCACCCAGGGAGGAGTCCAGGTAGGAATCCCTGCTGTCCCCCGTGCTCCAGGCAGCAGCTCTCATCTGCTGCAGGGTTGAGAGGATTCTGCTGCCCCACGTGGATCATCGGTGGCACAGAAGCTCTCTCAGACCGACCTCCTCGCCAAACAGGACATACCTGTGGTTTTGCTTGTCTGCAGTTTGTTTCCAGATGCCTCAGACCCTCGGGATGGCAAAAGCGACACAGAGTCCATGGAAAACATGAGCCTGGACAGCTACAGACCTAGTCCTGCTGATGTGGAGGGCAGGTGAGAGGATCCTGGGGTGGGTTGTCCTTGACAAGACTGGCTGGCAGAGGATGGGACCTTCATCTGAAGTGTGTTTTTCTCAGTCTGGTGAGGGGAAGCTGGCTCCTCGGGCTGGGCTGAAGCCTGTCCCTGGGCAGGAAGGTCCTGTGCTGCCAGGCTGCTGCGGGCAGCTCGAGTGGCACTTCCTGGCCAGCACTTGGCTCTGCCAGCTGTGCTTGTGGCCTGGGACAGACCTTTCTGTGTCTGCCACAGGAGGAACTCCCTGGAGAGAGCCATCCCTGGAAAACAGGTTGTTGGGCCAGCAGGACCTGCTTCCTGCAGCCTGACCCTCCCTCTCCGCTCCAAGAGCGCGCTCTCTGATGGACGGGTGCGTGACGCTGCTCCGCAGGCTCAGCCCTGTCCTGGGGCGTGGGGCTGGGCACCCCACGGGCTCCTAGCCCTGCCCTGCTCTGAAGGGACTCTTCCCGCCCAGGATGCCACCGTGGGGACCCGCAGCAGCACCTTGGTGGACGAGCATGAAATGATATTCAAGAAGAACCCCCGGCGGGTGGTGAGGCCTGCGGGTGAGAGATGAGCGGGTGCTGACACGGCCGGGGTGGGCAGCTCCTCCTGCCTGGGCTGGGAAGGGCTTTCAGTGCAGCTGGGAGAGGCTGGGGCAGCCCCTCGAGTGAGGGAGCAGCAGGGCTCTGCTAGCCCTGCTCTGTGCTGCTGTTCACCCCCTCTCGTGCAGACTACACCAAGTCCGTGATCGACCTGCGCCCCGAGGACCTTGTGGGGGAAGGTGGCTCTCTGGGGGACAGGAGCAAGTCAGTCCCTGGCCTCAACACGGAGCTGGTGAGACCCTGAGTGCCACGGAGATGGCTGCCAGCTGGAGGAGCCGGGTGTCTGGCTGGCTGTGCCCGAGCATCCCCACACCGGTGCCTTGTCTCTGTCCTTGCAGGAGGAGGAGGAGGAGGACATCGATAACCTGGTGGAGATCCACCGGCAGCGGGTGGCCCGGGGCAGCATGCGCAGCGGCACCTCCTCGGTGAGCCCTGCCCTGCCCTGCCCTGCCCTGCTCAGGGAGGAGTGATGGACAGGCAGTGCTGAAGGCTTGGGTGGGAGCGAGGCAGGGCAGGCAGCTCCTGGAGGGAAGGGGTAAGGGCCTGGTGTGTGGGGGCTTCTTCCCCTAGAAGGGAATCAAAATCAGAGACTCAGCTCTCTTCCAGGCAGCTGTGTGTGGGTGGGAGGCGCTTGTGGCCATCCCCAGCCACGGGGAGCTGAGGGGGGCTGTGCAGGAGAGGCACAGGGAGTAACCTTGCTGAGGATGAGGAGGGGATCCTGTGCCAGCTCAGCCCTGCCTTGTCCTGCAGAGCACACTGGGGAGCATGGTCAGCATTTACAGCGAGGCCGGCGACTTCGGCAGCGTGGCTGTCACCGGGGGCATCTCCTTCTCCCTGAGCTACGAGCAGAAGACGCAGACCCTGTTCATTCACGTGAAGGAGTGTCGCCAGCTGGCCTTTGGGGACGAGGGCAGGAGGCGCTCCAACCCGTGAGAGCAGGGGGGCGATGGCTGCTGCCACCGCCGGTGGTGCCCAGCGGGGTTGTGGGTCCCACCAGAGATGGGAGCTGTAAGTGGGAGGGTCCTGGTGAGGCAGGAGGTCTGGGCTTGCCCTGGGGAGCTCGGAGCATTAATTGTGGGGGGGGCCTTGTTGAAGTGCTGCCTGTTGTCCCTTCAGGTACGTGAAGACTTACCTCCTGCCCGACAAATCCCGGCCAGGGAAGCGCAAGACGACCATCAAACGCAACACCATCAATCCCCTGTACAACGAGCTGCTGAAGGTGCGTGGGGCTGGGTTGGGCTGGGCTGGGCTGCAGGCACTCAGGGGGTGCTGCTGGAACAGGCAAGGGAGGGGTGAGCTCCTAACCCTGCAGCGGGGTCTCTGCAGAGGAGCCGTGCCCAGAGACTGCGCCCTGAAAGCTGCAAAATCCCAACTGTGCCCTGCCTGTGCTGCCAGGCCCAGTGCCACGGCAGGGGGAGGCACAGCTGCAGATGTGACTGTGTCACAGGACAGTCCCTGGTTCCTGTGGCATTCCCCAGAGCAGAGGCATCCTGCTTCCCCTGGATATTTCCTTCCAAGGGGGAGACTTCCTGGCCCCTGGAGGCACGCTACAGTGGCAGGAGGGCGGGCAGCAGCCACAGGGGCAGAGATAAGACAGTTCTGGGCCCCAGGGCAGAACACCTTGGCACTGCCCTTCACCATCCCTGCTGGCTGACTCTGTCCCTGAGTCTGGCAGCACACCTCTGAGGCCAGGCACTCTTGCACAGGAGGAAGTGAGAGCTGTGGTTTGGTTTTTGGGCTAACACAGACAGCTTTGCTGAGGTCTTGTGCTCTGACCACCTGAGGCTCGGTGGTCTGGCAGAGCTCTGCTGGTGGTGGGATGGCCAGATGCCATGAGTCCTGGCTCCAAGGGCCACCTGCTGGGAGAGCACAGGCTCCTGCACCTCTGCCCTGGGACTCTGAGGTTTCAGCAGGCACGGAAGGAAAGAGGAACAGGCTCCTGTGCATGTCCAGTGCTGCTCAGACCTGTCTCCTGTCGTGCTCATGAGCTGCAGCTGATGGGGTTTGCCAGGCCTGCCCCTGTGCCGTGCTGCCTGCTCACAGGGGCTTTCTCTCTCCCCAGTATGAGATTAGCAAGTCCCTGCTGCTGGCCAGGACGCTGCAGTTCTCGGTGTGGCACCACGATCGCTTCGGCCGCAACACGTTCCTGGGGGAGGCAGAGATCCCCCTGGGCGCCTGGAACTTCGAGAGCCACCTGGAGGAGTTCCTGCCCCTGCATGGCAAGGTGTGCCCCGCTGCCCACAGCCTCCCTTGCCTGGTCCTGCTGCCCCTCGGTGGGCAGAGGGCTGTGGAGACCTCGGCTGAGCATTGCCAAAAGGCTTGTGCCAAATCAAGTATTTGGAGGTATGAAAAACCCCAATGCAGACAGCAGTGCTGTTGTAGTGAAAAAGGGCAAATCTTCTGCCTCGAGCCTAGCTTCCCTCCTCCTTGTCAGGTGATTGGGCCACAGTAAGATCCCAGAGGAGCTGGGCTGCACTGGTCGTGCTGGGGAGAGTTTTCAGGCACGTGTGCCAGCTCAGCCACATCTAGGAGAAGCCAAGTGCTTTGTCCCAGCCTGGGGAGGTGCTGCACACCAGGCTGTCACTGTGTGTGCCATGGCTCCTCTGCAGTGGTTGGTAATTCTCACCTCTTGGCAGATTGGGGCAGATGCTGCTGCTCTCCACCAGTACAAGGGGGAGCTGGTTGTCTCCATGAAGTACATCCCATCTGCCAAGCATCCTGGGGCTGGGAATGGCAGGAAAGGTGAGTGAAGCTCTGGGATCAGTGTGTAGCCCTGCAGGGCCTGCTCCTGGCCATGCAGGCTGGCTCTGGGTGGGGTTTTTGGGTGGTGTCTCTGCAGCTTTCTCCTCTGCAATACCTGCAAAGCTGCTCTGGGTCGGGGCAGAGCTGGCTGTCCTCAGGCTGCCCGAACCATCTCAGTACTTCCCTGGGGCTGGACCATTGCTGCATGAAGCAATTTTGTCTGTCTTTGGCCTCAGCAGGCAGTGCCAATACAGGAGAAGGCAAGAGGAGATGCCAGTCCATGCTCTGCACCTGCCTCTGGGATGAAGGCTGCTCAGCAGGAACTTTCCAAAAGTTTGCAGTGGTAGAAATTAAATTGGATTAATTCCTACTGTGTTGGGTTTTCCCTAGGCAAAACAGGGGAAGGGGGTGAGCTCCAGGTCTGGATCAAAGAAGCCAAGAACCTCACAGCAGCCAAGTCTGGAGGGACCTCAGACAGCTTTGTCAAGGGGTGAGTGAGGGTCCTGGGGCGGGGGGCGAGGAAGGCACCGTCCTCCCTGGCTGTATTCCCAAAGCTGCTGGGGCACCTGGAGGAGACCCCTTGTAGGGTGTCATGTCCTTCTTCCTGAGCCATGCCAGGAAAGGCAGGAAGGGGGGCTCCAGGCCAGTCCTGGGGTGCTGGGGGGGGCTTCAGGCCAGTCCTGGGGTGCTGGGGGGGCTCCAGGCCAGTCCTGGGGTGCTGGGGGGCTCCAGGCAGGGTGCTGGGAGGCTTCAAGCCAGGTGCTGGGGTGCTGAGGTGCCCCAGCCCCCCGAGCAGGAGGCAGCTGCCCGTGTGCTGCTAAGGCAGGGGCTGCTTCCCCCAGCTACCTCCTGCCACACAAAAACAAAGCCTCCAAGAGGAAGACGCCTGTGGTGAAGAAGACCCTGAACCCTCACTACAACCACACCTTCGTGTACAACGGGGTCAAGGCCGAGGAGCTGCAGCACATCTGCCTGGAGCTGACGGTCTGGGACCGGGAGCCGCTGTCCAGCAACGACTTCCTGGGAGGGGTCCGGCTGGGGGTGGGCACTGGTGAGACCCGCAGCCCCTCACAGCCGGGCGGCAGCGGCAGCCTGGCCGGGGCTGCGTGCTGCGGGCACCAGGCTGCTCCAGCAGTCACTTCTGCCGTCCTTTCCCCAGGCATGAGCAACGGGCAGGCCGTGGACTGGATGGACTCCACGGGCGAGGAGCTGAACCTGTGGCAGAAGATGTGCCAGTACCCGGGCTCCTGGGCAGAGGGGACGCTCCAGCTGCGCTCCACCATGGCCAGGCTGGGGCCGTAGGCTGTGGCACCGGGGCTGGCACCGCTGTGGGAGCCACGCTGCACAGCCACTGGCAAGGCAGCCAAACGTGTGTTGGGTTTTATTTTTCTTACACTTTAATAAACATGACCGTCTCTAAACAGGCTTGGGCAGAAAGTCTTCTTGGTCTAGCTTCGTTTAAAGGGTTTTCCTCTTGTACCAGATTTCAGGCTGAACTGCAGTCCTCGTGGACCCTCCCTTCTTCTCCCCCGGGCAAAATGCTTTTAAATGTCATTGTGTTTTTATTTCTTCTCATTCTTTTTTTCTACCACCCTGTTCTAGAGTCTGCTCTGTCCTTGTCCTCTCCACCCTGTTCCCCATACTCAGCCCAGCTCCAGATGCAGCACTGGGTGGATGGAACTGTGTGGGCTCAGCCTGGGGCGTTGGGGTTTGTGGTCTCCAGGAAACATTTGTTTCCCAGGCCTCTCAGTGACACATGTGCCAGCGCTGACTTTTTATACAAACCTATTTATTTCAACTTGAAGTTCTACTGCCAAAGCAGTTCCCAGAAAGGGCTCCCCGTGGGTGGTGGGAGCGGGAGTGAGTGGCAGGGGAGATGCAAGCCCTTTAGGCTGGACTGCACGCTGCTTGGCTGCTGTGGGCTCTGCTGAGCGTGGGGCCATTTGCTTTTCATCAGGGCTTTCAGAGTGGGAGGCATCGGGTCAAGGTTGTGCCCAGGGTGAGCCGTGGGGAGGCTGAAGCTGCTGTGCTAGAGGCTGTCACACTGCTGGCCAGCCTGCCCTGCCTGCCCTGCCTCTCTCCCCCTGCCCTGGGGTTGAGCAGGGGCACTCCAGTGTCTCCCACCAGGGTCCTGGCTGGGCTGAGCCATGCCCCAGCTGGAAACAGCTCCTGGCTCTGGGCAGAGGGACACTGCTGGCACACAGTCCCTGCTCACCTCTGCGTGCCAGAGCAGCCAGGGAGGGGCTCCCCTTCCCCGGAGCTCCCGGGCACCCTGCTCCTCCTCTGCAGTGGGCGACTAGAAAAGCAGGAAGGGAGGTGTCCATCCCCGGAGGGCAGGGCGGGGGTCACTCGCAGGGGTCCCCGCTCTGTGCCCGCCGCGCCGCCTCCCGCTCGCTCAGCAGGTAGGTGTCGATGAAGACGAAGAGCTCGTCGGGGCTGACCGGGGCGATGTAGCGCTCGCGGTCCGTGCCCGCCTTGTCCAGCAGCACCGCGTTGAAGTGCGAGCGGGTGAGGTGCAGGAAGCGCCTGCAGGTGCAAGGGGGTCGCTGCTCAGGGCTCGCAGCCAGGGCTGAGCCTGCCCGCCTCTTGCAACCAGGCTCAGGTCCTCCTGGAGTGGGGGCTCCCCCCTCTTCCTCGGGCCTGTGAGCTCTGGGAAGCTCTGGTGACGCTGCATTCAGACTTGAGGGGTTCCCCCCACTGCAGGACCCCTTCGGGGGCAGCAGAAAGGGGCTGCTCACGAACCCAGCTGCAACCTCACGCTTTGCCATTGCTAGAGGCATTCCCGTTCCCCGTCCCCTTGAACAGCCCCCCGGCTCCGCAGGACATCCCCGCCTGCCCTACCTGAGCTCCTCGATGATGCCGAGGGCCAGGCGGTGCTCCCGGATGCGCCCCACCTCGTGGGGGGGCTGCCCCAGCAGCTCCACGGTGGTGACGTGCCGCAGGTCCAGCCCGCAGGCAGCTTGCTGTGGAGGAGGGGGCGGTGAGGGGGGTCTGGCTGTGCAGCTGGGGAGGGGGGCGGCACGGAGCTCTGCTCACCTGCAGCATGCTCATCTGCATCTTGTAGTAGCGGTTGGAGGGGTCGGGGGCCGAGATGACCAAGAGGCGGCGTTTCTCGTGGAACTGGTCCAGCAGGCTGGCGGCCGAGCTCACGTCCGTGTTGATCTGCATGGCTGGGGCACGACACGAGCGCGTGGGGAGGTGCCATCGTGCCCCCCGCCACCCCTCTGACCCATCGGGCAGCACCCCCCAAGGCTCTGGGCATCGCCACGGGCAAGCCCTGCCCTGGCCGCCCCGCTTACGGGCACAAAGGGGCTGGGAGCCCGTCCACTGCTGGCTGGACTGGCAGACCCGCAGGGAGGTGCCCTGGCGCTCGTAGCCCCCGTCGCACAGGTACTCGCAGGTGGCTCCGTAGTTGTTGCCGTCGGAGGTGCAGGAGATGTAGCCGTTCTGCGGAGGCTTCAGGACAGGGCAGCGCCGCACTGCAGAGGGGAAGCCGTGTGAGGGCAGGGCTGGCCGTGCCCGGCAGGGGCTGTGCCGGCTGCAGCGGGGGCAGCAGCCAGCGGCCCGCGCTCACCGTGGACGCGGATGCTGAACTTGCAGCTGGCGCGGTTGTAAGCCTGGTCGTGGGCGGTGTAGCGGATCACATGCTCTCCCTCGGGGAATTCGGAGCCGGGCTCCGGGCCCCGCAGCATCACCCTGAGCCAACAGACGGGTTTCTCCATCAGCACCCCGGGCAGCGGCACCCACCCGGCCTCAGTGCCCGCAGCGCCTCTGCCCTCACCTCTTGATGACACCGTCGGCAGAGTCCCTGACGCGGGGAGGGTCCCAGTAGACGGTGGCAGTCAGCTTGCCTGGCTCTGCTATGCGTTCCCGGGAGTCCGGACAGCGGATCTTGGGAGGCTCCAGATCTGCTCAGAGGGAGGAGAAGGATTCATAGATCCTGTGGGTGCTTTGGCTGAGCTACGAGAGCGGTGCTGAACCACCCCAGGCACCTCGGAGCCACCCGGGCCTGCTGCAAAGCCAGCGCTGAGTGCCCCAGTGCCGGGCTGGTGGCTGTGTCCAGGGCTGGTGCCACTGCGGGGAGCGGCAGGGACCGGGGTCCCGAAGGAGGGAGGCGCAGGAAATGTCCGGCTTGGCTGCGGGGTGACACCTGCAGACACCCCAGCACGGCTGACGATCCCCTGCGTGCCCCAGCAGCGCGGGGTGAGAATTTACCTACACAGAGCGGCTCGCTCCCGCTCCAGTGCCCATCCTCCATGCAGACGCGGCTCCGGTCGCCCTCCAGCTGGTAGCCGGGCAGGCAGGTGTAGTCACAGCGGGAATCCATCTGCACGCCCGCCGAGCACGCGTAGGAGCCCCGCAGCACCGCCGTCAGCACGTGGCACCGGATTTCTGGGATGGAGAGAGCGAAGAGGGGAGGGCAGTGCGGGTGGGCACAGCAGGCAGGACTGGGGTGCTGGCAGGGGACACTCACGTCGGCAGTACGCCATCCCCGACCAGTGGCGGCTGGGCAGGCACTGGACGGCGCTGGGACCCACCAGGCGGTAGCCGCGGGCGCAGCTCAGCTCGCAGCGTGTCCCCAGGCTGCTGCGGTAGGAGCTGCCCCGGGGAGAGTAGCAAGTGGCCTCTCCGCGGTGGATGTTGAGCGTGGCGCACCACTGGGGCACTGCGGGAGAGCGGGGAGGTGACGGAGGAATCTGCCGCGCCTCGGTGTCCCCACGAGGACACAAAGGATGGGTTGGTTGGGTGCTGTTACCTCGGCGGTAATCCAGGGCAGGCTCAGGGGGCGGCTCTTCTGCGTACACCTCGTTGGTGTGACTCTCCAGGTAGTAGCCGGACCCTGGCAGGAGGGAAGAGACGAGCAGGCTGCAGGGCGGCTCATGGCTGCAAAACGTCCCGCAGCTGCCAACGAGCAATCCCAGCCCGGGCAGATCCCGTCCTTGGGGCTGCTGTCAAGGGTTAAACTGGGCAGACGGCGAGCCCAGCCCCCGGGGGCATGGAGGGCGCTGGCACCAGCGCAGACTAAACAGCGGCAGCCGTGGTTGTGGCAGGAAACGGGCGCTGGCGCGGAAGGGGCTGGCATCGACCCCCAGCTTCGTGCTGCTTCCACCCGCTCCCATGGCACCGCCACTGCCACGGGGCATCCCCAGGGAAGGAAGAAAGCTGCCCTTGCCTGCCCTTTCCTGCCCGTCCCCTCACCAAGGCAGGGATGGCGAGCACGCTGCCCGGCCGGGGGTTGCTCAGCCCCGTGCCCGTGCTCCAGGGAAGGATGGAGCTGCCGGAGGGGCTCGGCCGGAGGTGCTGGCCCCTCGCCACCCGTGCTGGGCCCCGCGGGTGGGGTGAGGACACCGTGCCTTCCCGGGCGAGTCCTCGCCGGTGGGGAGGGGGCCGTGCAGGGGGAGAGGCTGCCGTCCTTCCCCGCGGCCCCTCGGCGCCTCGGCCGGCCGCGGCATTCCCCAGCTCTGAGCTCACGTTTCCGCCGCGTTTCCGCTGGCCCCCGCCGGCGCTGCCCCCTCCTCGCCGGCCCACCGCGCTCCCCGGGGCACGGCGGGGATGCTCGGCCCGGGGCACCGGGAAAGGCGGCGGCACCGGCGCAGCCAGCGTCCCCTTGCCCCGGTTTTGGGAAGGGGATATCCGGCGCCGCCAAGCCGAGCAGAAGCCCCGCCGTCACGGGGAGGAAACTCCATTACGAATCTTTCCAAAATGAACTTTCCTATGGAGCGGCTCGCCACAAGCCCGCCCGCTTCCACAGCGCGTTTATCCAGCTGCTCCTTCACGCTGCCACGGATCCCGGGGGGCGGAGGAGCAGGGACGGCACCTGGGGGCGGCCGTGACCTGGCGAACGAAAAGCTTTTCCTGGGGGGCTGCCAAGGCTCCCGCCGGGGCCCTGGGGACAGAGCGCAGTGTCGCCGCAGGCAGATGTGCCGTTTAATGGTGATGTTTCCTTCCACTGCCAGCGCTGCCTCTTCCTTCTCACCTGGGGCCAGCTCAGCCCCGCTGCACTGGGCAGGAGCATCCCCAGGTGTGCTGGCAGCACGGCCAGGGGACGGCATGGGAGCAGGGAAGGGGGAAACCACCCCAAACAAGGCCCTGGTGGCCCAGCCAAGGGCGGTCGGGACTGTGGGCTCCGTCCAGCGAACATCTGCGGCCGATGGCCCCGCGGGAGCAGGGAGCCAGCGGGAAGCGGCGGGTGTGAGGAGGACAGGCCGCTTTTCTGCTCCTCCCTGGACGCCTGCCAGCATCCCCTCCGTTCCTCCGCGTACCCACGGCTCACCCCCCAGGCACCCCATTCCTCAGGCAGTGATGCTCTCCCCGCATCGCTGCTCCCTCCATCCCTGCCCACCCCGCGCCCTCAGCAGCGCTGCGCAGGCTGCCAGCCCCGGGCGCCCGCTGTGCCCCACGCCCGGCACTCACCTTCGTGCCACGTGGATGACACCAGCCTGGCGAGGACCAGCAGCAGGACGGGGACTGTCCCCTGCGCCATCGCGGGCAGCCAGGGGGGCGGTGGGAGCCCACCTGCCGCGCCGGGACCGGGAGCAGCCGCGAGGATGGAGAGGATGGAGCGGGGCTGGAGGCGGGATGGCGGCCCCCTCTGTCGCCTTGTCACTGCTCAGATGTCTGTCCCTCCTGCCTGGTCGCTCTGCTTGTGCTGAGCAAACTTACTTTCCCCCTTGGCCGCCCATCCCAAACATTCAAAAGCCGTGAGTCAGGCCCAAAATGATGAGATTGTAAAAAAAAAAAAAAAAAAAATCCCAGGATAGCCCGTTTTCCGACGCGCCTCCTGCTTCTCCGGGGCTTTAAAAGGTTGTAAGAGGCTTTCTTGTGCAAGCAGAAGAGCCAGGAGCCTGTTTGGACACAGGACAGAGCCAAACCGAGCCTGTGCCAGCCCTGACGGGCTCCGGCAGCGGGGGCCTGCAGGGGCGAGCACGAAACCGCAGGAGCCGGGTCCCCTTTCCCACCTCCTGCGGGAGGGAGGGAGGGAGGGACCCCGCTGCAGACGGGAGGCTCCGAGCCCGCTGCCGAGGAAGGCGCTTGCAGCTGGGGTCTGTGCGCGGCCGCAGCCCGGCCCCGCGAGCACCGGCCCCGCAGCGCCTCTGCCAGGGCCGTGGCTCGGGCGGCAGCGGCGGAGCTGCGGCCGGGCCGGGAGCGCCGGGCACGGGCTGGCTGCGGCAGGTAGGAGCGCTCGCCTGGGCTGCGGGGGACAACGCGCTAATTATGCGGCGGCAGGGCTGGGAGCGCGCTAATTAATGACACGCTGTCCCGGGCAGGAGAGAGCACCGGGAGGGACTGCTGCTGCTGCTGCCGGTGTGGGGAGCCCGCAGCCCCCCGCAGCCCGGGGACACCCCGGGACAAACCCAGGACATCCCGGGACACCCCGGGACAGCCCCGGGACACCCCCAGGACACCCCGCGACACCCCGGGACAACCCCAGGACACCCCGGGACAAACCCAGTACATTCCGGGACAACCCCAGGACACCCCGGGACAAACCCAGGACAGCCCCGGGACACCCCCGGGACAACCCCGGGACACCCCGGGACACCCCGGGACAACCCCAGGACACCCCGGGACAAACCCAGGACATCCCGGGACAGCCCCGGGACACCCCCGGGACACCCCGGGACACCCCGGGACAACCCCAGGACATCCCGGGACAGCCCCGGGACACCCCGGGAGGGCTCAGCCCGCGGAGGGCAGCAAGGCCGGCGCTGCTGCCGTGCTGGTGGTGCCATGTGCCGGGACACGGGGTGGCTGTCCCGCTGCACACCGGGACAGGGCGTGGGACACGGCTGGAGCAGGAGAGCAGGGACTGGCTCTGGCTGGCACCGGCAAGGAGGTGGCACGGGACAGGCAGGGGGTGGCACCGGGGAGGCCGGGAATGGTGGCATGGGTGGGGCAAGGGGTGGCACAGGGTGGCACGGGGACGGCGGGAGGTGGCAGCGGGTGGCCCCAAGCAGGTGGGAGGTGACGTGATGAAAGCAGGGGGTGACACCGGCAGGCGGTGGCACGGGGGAGGCGGTGGGTGGCACTGGAGAGGGTGACACGGGCTAAGCAGGGAGTGGCACCGGACAGGAGGCAGCAGGGATAGGCACGGGGTGGCACGGGCTAGGCAGCAGATGACACCGGACAGGTCGTGACAGGGGGCAGGCAGGAGGCGACACCAGACAAGGGGGTGTCACAGGACAGGGGGTGGCTCCGGACAGGGGTGACAACGGATAGGGAGTGTTACAGGACAGAGGGCGACCCAGGACAGAGGGTGGCTCGGGACAGGGTGTGTCACTGGACAGCAGTGTCCCAGTACAGGGGATGACAGGGGACAGGCGATGTTACAGGACAGGAGTGGCAGGGAACAGGGGTGACAGGGGACAGGGATGTCCCATGGCAGGGGTTGCAGGGGATAGGGGTGTCCCAGGACAGGGGGGGACAGGGGCAGGGGACAGGGGTGACAGGGGACAGAGGTGTCCCAGGACAGGGGTGACAGGGGTGTCCCAGGACAGGGGGGGACAGGTGACAGGGGTGACAGGGGACAGGGATGTCCCATGACAGGGGGTGACAGCGGACAGGGGTGTCCCAGGACAGGGGGTGGCAGGGGACAGGGGTGTCCCAGGACAGGGGGTGACAGGGGACAGGCCTGGCCGGGGCGCCCCCTGCGGAAGGAGGGGGGAAGAGCACGGCGCCGTCTGGCGCGCTCGGCCATTTCCGTGAGCGCTCGGGCAGCTCCGGTGCGGGGCGGGGCCGGCCCGCTCGGGGGCGTGCCGGGGGCGTGCCCGCGGCCCCGCCCGGCCCCGCCCCGCACGCCCGGTGTCGGCCATGGCGTCCCCGTCGCGGCGGCTGCAGACGAAGCCGGTGATCACCTGCCTCAAGAGCGTCCTGCTCACCTACACCTTCGTCTTCTGGGTGAGCGCCCGCCCTTCCCCCCGCCGCACGTCGCGGCTGCGCCGCCCTGTCGCGATAGTCGCGAGCCAGCGCGGCTTTCCCCTCTCCCCACCAGGTGTCGGGCATTGTGCTGCTGGCCGTGGGCATCTGGGGTAGGGTGAGCCTGGCCGTCTACTTCTCCCTGTTGGACGAGAAAGCCACCAATGTCCCGTTCGTGCTGGTGGGCGCTGGCGCCGTCGTTGTCCTGCTGGGCACCTTCGGCTGCTTCGCCACCTGCCGCGGCAGCACCTGGATGCTCAAGCTGGTGGGTGGGCTGGGACGGGGCAGGATGGAGCCCCGTGCTCTCCTGATCCATCCCGACCCGTCCTGATCCATCCCGAAACATCCCATCCTGTCCCTGTCTGCTCCCATCCCTACCCTACCCCGTCCTGTCCCATCCCACCCTCACCCCACCCCATCCATCCCCTCCCATCCCATCCTTTCTGCCCGCAGTATGCCATGCTCCTGTCCCTCATCTTCCTCATCGTCCTGGTGGCTGCCATCGTGGGGTTCGTCTTCAGGCACGAGGTGAGTCTGGGTGGCCAGTGCCATGTCCCGGGGCTGCAGAGTGAGTTTGATGCTGCTTTTACCCCAGTGCAGTCGCAGATGTCACCGAGGGACAGAGGGGCTGCTTGGGAGCGGTTTAGCAAAGATAGGGTTGGTTTAGTTTGCTTGGTTCAGCAAAGATAGGGTTAAACCAGCACAAAGAGCAGCTTGGTCCCTGTAAGGACCCAGAAGGACCAGCCTGGGTGCAGGGTCAGTCCAGCACAGCACGCTGTCCCTCCATCAGAACAGGCAGAGTAGCCCTGGACTGTAATTTCTGGCTTTGGTCTATTTTCTACAATAATTTCAGTAATTAAAGCTCCTGGGAGGGTTTCTGTGCCTGCTTGGGAGGGAGCTGGCACGGTGTGTGTCCTTGTTATTACAGGCAGCATCCCTGCTGCCACAGTGCATCCAGCCTGCCCTTTAATACAGCCTCTAATTGCCTGGCCCTGGAAAATGTCTGCTGGCCAGGCCGGAGTCACTGCTGGCATCCCCGAGCAGTGCCTGACCCGGAATGGGGTCCTGAGGGCAGGAGGGACAGCCCTGACACCTCTCTCTTACAGATAAAGACAAGCTTTGAGAGTAACCTGGAGCTGGCCTTGAAGGACTACAACGTGACTGCAGATCCACACAGCGAGGCCGTGGACACCATCCAGAGAACTGTGAGAGCCTGGGGGGAATGGGGGAGAACCTGGGGGGAATGGGGGAGAGCCCCGGGCTGCCAGCAGGTGGGAATGCTGCCCTGGCCCAGGGTGTCCCCTCTGCCCTCTGTGGCACTGGCATCCCCTCACAGGCTTTGGAGTCTGGCAGATGCTGGGTGAGATGGGTGAGGGTGGGGGAGCCATGGCAGTGGTGGTGGGAGCAGGGCTCAGTTCCCTGGTGTGACCAGACTCCCCAAATGTGCTTCCCACTCCAGCTGCACTGCTGTGGGGTGCAGAACTACTCTGACTGGGAAAGGACTGAGTACTTCAGTCAGAGGGGGATCCCCCCCAGCTGCTGCAAGAGCCAGAACGACTGCTCGGAGCAAGATCTGAAAGACCCAAACAAGGCCAAGCTGAAAGTGTTTGTGGATGTAAGTTAAGCTCAGAAAAATCTGCCTGCTGGTCCTGGAGGTGGGAAGGGCAGGGATGGGTGTGTGGGGGAGGGCTGGTCTGTCCCTGGCAGGCTGGAAAGGAGAACTGCCCTATCGATGCTGGTGTTCAGTGGCCCAGGGACTCCCCTGGAGTGGGTAAGGCTATGGAATCCTCCCTTCTGTCTGAGGCTCCCCCACTCCTTCCTTTGAGATCAGGCCCCAGCCAGACCCAAGCACTGGCCTTTGGGGATGTGTGTTTTGAAGAACAGGTGAGTAAGGAAGTAGCTTCCCAATAAAGTTTGTTTCAGCAGTGCTGACATCTCCCTTGGGTGCAAAGTCCTGACCCGGTGGTGAGGGCATGAGACCTCATCCACAGGGATGGTTGGGTGATGCAAGGGTTCCTCTGATGAGTCACCTGGCTCAGGCTGGGAGCAGCCCAAGGGCAGTGCTCCCCTTGATAAAGCATCTGGGCTGGGAGGCTGGAAATGGCTTTGCTGAGGCCTGGCAGGAGGGGCCAGCCAGGACCTGCTGCTGCCTGCACAGGAGCATCTTCCCCTGGAGCTGCCAGTGCTTTGGGGAGGAGCTGGTCTGTGCTCCTGGGGCTGGAAAGCACTGGGTCCACGTGCTTGCTTTGCTTCCTCTGCAGGGTTGTTTTTTCCTGGTAACGTCAACAATGGAGTCCAAAATGAGCGTTGTGGCCGGAATCTCCTTTGGCATCGCGTGTTTCCAGGTGAGTCTCCCTTGCCTGGCTCGGGAGGAGGGCACAGTGAAGCCAGCGTGTCTCCAGAGGTATTTGATTCCAGTGCAAAGTCTGGAGTGTGCAAAAGGCACGGTTGGTTTCAGTCAGGGAGGAGCAGCTACTCTGTGGATTCCCCTTGGTTTTAATCTGCTGTGCAGGCCCCAGTCTCACACCCAGGGCTGGAGCCCCAGCTCTGTTTCCTTGAGCCCAGGTTTATTTGGGAAGATCTCTCTGAAACAACAGACTCCAAGAAAAAACAAACGGAGGTGGACAAGCTCTGTGTCTGCTGTTGGCAGGGATCAAATCCGTGCCCTTCCTTTTCCTACCCACCCACGCTGACACCAGGAGGGTGTTTGGCATCTCCGTGAGTGCCAGTGTGGCACCACTTGTGCTGGTGGCTGACCACCCTGCCCTGCCCTGGTGTCCTCTCCTCCAATGTCTCCTTCACTTTATCGTGCAGGGCACTTCCTGCAGGAGCCACAGCAGCAGCAGCAGCAGCGTGCTGGCCAGCCCCAGCCCCAGCTCCAGCCCCAGCCCCAGCTCCAGCCCCAGCCCCAGCTCCAGCCCCAGCCCCAGCTCCAGCCCCAGCCCCAGCTCCAGCCCCAGCCCCAGCTCCAGCCCCAGCCCCAGCTCCAGCCCCAGCCCCAGCTCCAGCCCCAGCCCCAGCTCCAGCCCCAGCCCCAGCTCCAGCCCCAGCCCCAGCTCCAGCCCCAGCCCCAGCCCCAGCTCCAGCAGCTTCATCCCGGCAGGAAGCGGGAGGCCCCTGCCCCCAGCCGGGCGCTGACGCCACGCTGGGGCTTCCCGAGGTGCCGAGGGCTTTCTGAGGGCTGCAGGATGTGCAGCTGGCCCTCCTCCAGCTGCTCTGTGCAAGCTGGCTGGGCTCTGGTGCTGAGCAGCCAGCCCTGCCTTTGGAGGGGCTCAGACTCTGCCTCCCTGTGACCAGTGGCCGTGGCGTGAGCGTCAAGGTGCTGCTGGCCGGGACTGGGGCTGGGGAGCAGGAGCCTGCTGAGATACTCAGTTGTATGAGCTTGTCACTGTGTGATTTCTGTAACAGATGGACTGAACTGGGCAGAGGTGGGAGCCTGCAGCTCGTGGTACTGAGTGCTTTGGGACAGCCCGAGAGCCGGAGCTGCTCCGCCGTGCCCGCTGCTCGCACCACTCCTCCTGGCTGGGCTGGGCTGGGCTGGGCTCACTGAGATTCAGTGGGGAACTGCACACACACTCCCAGCTGCAGCGTTATCTCAGCTCATGGCAGGCTTAGGAATTGTAACCAGTTCCTAGCATTTATTGCCCCTTCAGCAAGCTTGGCTGGGTCACGCCTCTGACAGGATTCCTGTTGTGCCCATGTGCCTCTAACTTGGCTTGTGGAGGTCAGAGTCATGCAGGATCTGGCCCTGGAGTCTGCACAGGTGCTGGGAGGCTGTGTTGTGATAACAGAGCCTTCCTGATGTGAGAGCAGCAGCCTTGCTTCCCCAGTGTCCTTGCACAGGGAGAGGTGCTGCCGTTCTCCCGTGGCCGTGTAATTGGCTGTGACGCTCCTGGTATCTGTGTAATCTCTGCAATTACCATAAAACAATCCATGCTTGGTGAAGCAGCTTGTAACAGGATGGGAGCTGGAGCATCTCTAGTGAGGAGCTTGTTTAGTTGGTGCTGCCAGGATCCTGTGCTTCAGCCACTTTCAGTGGTTCTGAAGCAGGGTGCAGCAGCCCTTGTGGGGTTTGTAAACCCCACTGTCCATCCCTGGATTTCATAAAACCCTGGATCACTTTGTCAGGTTTTCTCCTGAAGACACCCCTCCCTGTTTTTGGCTGCCTCTGACATGCAGGGTTTGTTTTCTCTCCTTTTCAGTTGATTGGCATCATTCTGTCCTGCTGCCTGTCCCGGTACATCACCAACAATCAGTATGAGATGGTGTAGCTGCCCCCCCGCGCTCTGTGCCTGTGCCTGGGTATGTCTGTAAGCCTGGTGGGCTGCCTCTGCCCCCCTGGCTGCTGCTGCTCACCCTTGGGGTGGGGGTACCACTTTGGGGGGGGGTTAGGGTTGGAGGGCACCTGCAAGAGCATGTCTGCTATGTCATTTTAGCCTGTGTCATTTCAGCCTGTGTCGTTCCAGCCTGTGTCATTTCAGCCTGTGTCATTCCAGCCTGTGTCTAGATCCATCCTGTCTGCTAACACTCTGCTGTGTGCATTGCAGGGAATGGCTGGGGAGGATGCCTCCACCTCCAGTTTTCCTCTGGATGCCACGTCGTGAAATCTTGCTTTGAACTGACTGATCTTCTTCTCGTCTAGCTCATAGAAAGGAGGGCAGCAGCTGTCCTGGTGCACTCGGGGATTTGTCCTGACACTCCTCTGCTGTGCCACTGCCTGGGGTAATAATTGGTGTGGCTGTGGTGGCTGCAGCCCCCGGCTCTTGCACCGAGTGCCACACTGTGCTGGACTGACTGTGCTGGTGGCCTCCTGGGTGTCCCAGTGCTCATCTTCAGTGCCTCCACTGGGAAAGACACGCTTCCCCTTGCCTCGGGCAGCCCCTTGACATCCCCTCACTCTCCAGACACAGTTGTTCTTGAGATAGGGCTGTTAAACACAGCCCTGCCTGCCTGAAGCCTTGGCTCAGCAAGGTTGTTGCCAAGCTGTCTCCTCCCTCCCCTGGGTTTTATATACTTTTTTATAGTTGTACTTCTTTAAGTACGGGCTGTAGTGGTTCTTTGTAAGCTGTAGTGAGGTTTGGTGATGTAGCTCCTGGTGCCTTTACCTTGGTAGGTGTCCTTGCACCGATTCAGCTGTGACTTGATTGTCAGTATTATATGCTGCTTCAACTCATTTTATGTATTGAGTAGAATTCTTTTTGTCTTGAGACACAATAAATATTAAGATATTTTACTCTATGAAACCTCTTTGACTTTTCTTTTTGTGTCCTGGAAATTCCTTTGCTGGAAGAGCAGCAAGTGCCCCCAGGGCTGCTCTGCTCACTCTGGGCCAGCAGGAACCTCTGGCCACTGCAATTTGCATTCTTCCAACGTGCACTGGTACACTTCTGCTTGCAAATAACTTCTGTAATTGAATTTTCTTCATAACAGCGGTTGTGTAACAGTGCTGGAGCAGAGGGCCTGGAGCACCCCAGCCCAGGAGCAGGGTGGGTAACTTCAGCCCAGTGTGAACATGTGCACCCTTGGCCTGCTGGCTGCTGGCTTGGAGCAAAGGGCAGGGCCCTGCCAGGCCCCAGCTGCTCCCCAGGGCAAGAAATGTGGATTTAAGCTTTTAAAATCATTTGTTACTGCTCATTTTTGGGCTGTTTTGTCAGCAAGCCTCTGCCTTTTGGAGCCTGGTGCTGCAGTGAAGCAGTGGAGCACCCCTCTGTCAAGCTTGGGGGGAATTTTGGGTCTCAGGCACCGAACTGGCTGGATCTGAGCTGTGTCTGGCTGGGTGTGGAGCTGCCTGTCCTGCTCCTGGGGAGGAGGCAGGTGTAACCAGAGCAGTGAAGCCAGGGGTAGCAGTGGTGGCCCTTTGTCAGTGTCACCCTTCTGGCCAAAGCTGCCTGGGTGCTGGCTGAGCTGCCCCAGCCCAGCAATGGCCTGGAATGGGCCAGCCTGGCTGCTGAGGGAGGAACCTGGAGGGAAACGCCCCAAACCCTCGTGTTGCATTCAGCCCAGGTGAGTAAATCAGCCTTTTGTCAGCTCCTGGCTGGCTGAACGCCTCCTGGCTCGGGGTGGTGAGGCAGAATGTGTCAGAGCAGGGCAGCTGGGCTGGAGAGTGGCACTGAAGGGATGCATGGAGACAGGGCAGGCACACGTGAGAGGCAGGAATGGATTTGGATAAACCCATTGTCAACTTAAAGCCTGCACAGAGGGAAGGATCCTGCCCTGCTCCGTGCCCCTGCAGGCAGATTCCTTCCTGGGGCATCCACAGGAGGTGGTGCCAGGTGGATGGGGATGGTTCTGGCAGAGGCTGGCACAGGGAGCCTGGAGGTTTCCAGGCAGCTGCAGGAAAAGCAGCATGGGTTGTGGAGGCTTGTGCAAGCCTGCTCATCCCCACAGGCAGCAAAGCACTGCAGCCATCAGAGGGTGTGGATCTTACCTGGTTAAACAGCACTGATGTACACAACTTTAATTTGGACAGATGTGATGGATGTACAGGCATGTGCTGGGGGAAGTGCCAGGCAGAGCTGGGACACCAGTGTCCTGGCAAAGGCATTGTGTGCACCTTGGTCACCTGCCTGGACACTGAGCAGAGACAGAAGCATTGCTGGCTGGCCCCAGGGCTCTGGTTTCTTGCAGCAGCCATGGCTGGGTGGGTTTCACACATCCCCCTGCTGTGTTTGCACCTCCCCTCTCAGTGGGATAAATGTCTCAAGGGACTTGTCAGAAAGGCTTGGTGTCCCCAAGGCTGGCTGGTGTCCCTTGGGATGCCAGGTGGGGAGCTCCCAGTGTTTTAACCACTCTGTCAGTGCAGCCATGGACAGGGAGAAGGGGAGCTGCTCTTAGAATGTGCTCACATCCCCATGGCAGCTGCAGGGATGTGAGGGGGGGCTGGCAGCCCTGGGGACGCCACACCTGGCACCTGTCTCTGTTCCCTGCTCTGTCTGTACATTCCAGCCATGGCAGTGTGCTCCCCTAGTGACACTGAGGGTTTTGCCTGGTGACACCTGCAGGATGTCGGAGCTGCTCAGCAGCAGCTGGCTCCCTGGGATGAAACCTGGGACCTGGCTTTGGCATGAGCCCAAGGTCATGGCAGAAGTGTGCCCAGGGGGTTTTGGTGTGAGCCTTCAGCCCTGTGTCCTGCTCAGGGCAGCTGCCGTGCTCAGGACTTCTCTCCTGCAGCTCAGGCTTTGCCCATTTGTTGGTGACAGGGCTGGGGACAGCCGGTGGCACCTGGGGTCCTCCAGAGGAGTGGACTCCCTGTGACTTTGGCTGCTCGGTTCCTCAGGGAGCTCCCTGTGCCAGCTCCCTGTGCCTGTGCTGCAACAGCTCCGGAGGGGACTGGTGGCACCCCTGAGCTGCCAGCAGCCACCGCGGAACGCGTCAGAGCAGGCAGGGACAGAAGGTCAGACAGGCCGAGCAGCAGCAGGGAGGACAGCAGAGCCCTCCGCACCCCGCACCCGACTCACGGGCGCTCCTGGAGGCGGCCACGCAATTCCATCATCCGCAGAGCCATTAAGCATCAGACCGAGGCGAAACGACTTTCCATCCTCTTTGCAATCGCTCATACAAGACGTTTATTGCCCGCCGCTCGCAGCTCAGCCGGCTGCCGCTCCGCCGGCCGTCCCGCAGCCCCGCGGGGTGCGGGGCCGCGGCGGCGGCGGGGCAGGAGCAGCGGCTGGCAGTGCCCGCTGTCGGTGCTGCCCGTGTGCCAGCCGGCTCCGGGAGGGTGGCAGCGGGCACGGCTACACCCTGCCCAGCATCCGCGCGATCCACCAGTTGCAGGGCATGATGATGCGGCAGATGACCCTGCCGCCCTGGTAGCAGTAGGGGTAGGGGTGGTAGCCCAGCAGGGGCTCGCAGACCCGCCGGCAGTAGCGGTTGGCACGGCGGCACCGGGCACAGCAGTAGCCTCGCTCGTCCCACAGGGGGTGGAACTCCAGCCCGTTCTCCGACTGCCGGGAAGAGACGGAGTCAGAGGGGGCTGTGGGGCTGGGGCACCCGGGAGCGGGGACAGCGCAGCCTGGGAGGGCACTCGGGGCACCCAGGAGAGGAGCAGGGCTCCCCGGGACATGGAGACACCCAAGGGTGTGCACAGGGCATCCCAAGCAGCACAGCCGGGGCACCCCTGACCACGGCCAAGACAGCCCAGGACGTTGGCCAGGGTGGCGTTCCCTCACTCAGGTAGGGCAGCCTAGGGTGGGTTCCCTCACTCACGCAGCCCATAGTGGGGGTCCCTCACTCACAAACCCCATGGTGGGGGTCCCTCACTCACGCAGCCCATGGTGGGGGTCCCTCACTCACAAAACCCATGGTGGGGGTCCCTCACTCACGCAGCCCATGGTGGGGGTCCCTCACTCACAAACCCCATGGTGGGGGTCCCTCACTCACGTAGTCGTTGACGGGCAGCTCCTCCTCGGTGAGCTGCCGTGCCCGCCGCTGGGGCCCCGCCTGCGTGTCCTCCTGCCGCTCGTGTTCGCTCCCCCCGTCCAGCCAGCTCTGGCTGTCTACCAGCAGCTCAGGGTCTTCTTCTTCTGCCCCTTCAAGGTTGGCCAGTTCAGGAGCTACAGGGAGAGTCCAAATGTTGCTGTCAATAACCACGGAACAGAGGGACAAATGCAGCAGCAAGAATTAATGTCTCTACCAGAATTTGGTGCCAAGGTACACGAAAAGCCCACTGCAAACTAGTGCTCCATTGCCTCCTGCTCTCAGCCAGCCTGGGACAGGGCTGAGGGAGATACTGGCCCGTTCCACCCCCATGCCCATGGGTGGGTGCTGTTGGCTTCTCCTGCATGGGGCTGTGGGTGTGCAGAAGCACATCCTCCCGGTGGGCTCTGCTGCTGGGGGGTGGATTTGTAGAGCCCCAGCAGAGCAACACGATCTGGGGCAGATCATGCCCAGCTTCAGCTCTCTTAGCTTAGGAAAGAGCCACAGCAGCAATAATTTCCTTTGCTAGGGAAGGTGCCAGACAGCCTTGGGACACTGCTGTCCTGGCAAAGGCCTCGGATGCACCTTGGTGACCCAGCTGGACTCACTGACCCAGGACACTGCTGCAGGAGGGTCTAACGGCAGGGACAAGGAGGCAGAAAGGGGACAGCAGTCGGGGACACCAGCCTCCCTCTGCAGCAGGGAGCTGTGGTGCCCACCTGCCCTCCAGAGCACAGGTGAGCTGGCCTGTACCTGTGAGCGATGCCATGTGCCTCTGTGGCTGCAGAGCAGAGGGAGTTGGCTCAGCAGGGATTTTTGAACTGGCTCATTCAGCTGGAAGTGGGTTAGAGAGAGCGGGTAATTACACCAGCACATCTCAGAGGCCACAACCTCTGCGAGGGCTCTGTAGTGAGCAGCTGGAGGTGGCAACCCCGCCGTGTGATTTAGATGCAGATGTCTGCTCACACTCTGATGTTCATGTGGTGACGAGAATTTAGGTGTCCCAGTTTCCAGCAGCGTGGCTTTCTTTGTAGGTACAAGGGATTATTTTTTTTTTTGCCCTTGTTATGAGGAGGGTGGCCACTCTGCAAAGTGCAGGGCGGCGGGGAGCTGGCAGAAACAAGTGCTTTGTAGAGGGAGTCTTCAGCCCCTGCTATTACCTTGGCCATGATCTCCTGTGGTCACGGGGAGCACGGTGTTCATGACTGAGATGTACAAGGAGGCTGTGAAAGTGGGTTCCCACCACGTCACAGAGGGGGACATGGCAGGGGGGCACAGGTGTGTGGCAGGGCTGTTCCCACTGAGAGGGCTCATGAGCCCCGTGGGGAGGAGATGGCTCCTTGTACCTGCTATTGGCGTGGGGTGGATCCAGAAGATGGTCACATTTTTGCAGATGTCAAAAATTTTGGAGCCCTTCAGGAATTCCTTGTTCTGAATGGGCTTTTCCCCAGGCACCCAGACCACAGACTGCTCAAAGTAGGTGGTGGTGATTTCTTGTCCCTGGAAGAAGAGCAAGACATTACCCTGGCGTGGTGACACACCCTGCCCCCAGCACTGGCTGCTTCTCCTCCCCTTGGCTTAGAGGCACCTCTGCCCTCCCAGAGAGCAGCTGGACTTCACCTGCCTTGGCTCGTGGGGCTCACGGGATGCACACACAATACCCTGACAGCCCTCACCACCCTGCTCTCCTCTCTCAGTTCATCACCCAAGACCCTTTTCCTGCACAGTCCCCGCTATCTGGAAGAGCCTTCTGGAACCCCCTTAGTCATTCAAAACACAACATTAAAACACCTCTGCTCTACTTTGCTCCTAGGATTTAATTC